TAGGATATATGTAACCATGGTAGATCCCTCGGCTGAACTTCGCCTGCATGTATATATAAGCATTCGATCATACATCACAAGATATATTGGAAAATTATCGTTTAACGGGAGGAAAATTGTTAATTCTAGCATAAATTTTCGGGTAAATTCTGCCTGTAGCTCGACATTTACGACGATCTGATATCGTCAATGCGTGCATCACAAATTCAAAATTATGGTAAGATTGTATTCGAAGTGGTGTATTGTTACTCGTAGTCGAAAAAGCATTATTTGTTATCTATAAAACTTACTTTGCTTTAAATATTTAAAAAAATGTGCCCTAAAGATAAATATGATACGGCAATCCATTTGCTTAAATTTAGCAACTGCGAAGGTGACCGATAACATATACTAGAATTTTGTGCAGTAGTCTATGCTGTACTGTATGTGCAAATGCACACGAACCTATTATATCGCGCATGGGGTATACGTGTACGATAGAATATTTCTTTACATTTTCCTAATAAAACTAAGTAAAATGTGATCAATAACACATTTAAATACCAGGCATATATCGATAAAGTACAAAGCGTTGTTTGATACTGTTCTTGAAGAAAATACCTATGGTAGTATATATTGCTGAAAACACCTATATAATCATAGTCACATTTTAGAAACTTTCAGTTGACTGTACATTGTTGTAAGTCGTATCATTCGAAAGGAGCATCACAACGCGAACAAAATGATTCCTTCCCTATTAGAATTAAGGTTTCATAACTATAACATAATATGCCGACATATCATTTAACAACTATAACAATGAAACCATGCGAGATAAACAATTCAAATAAAGAAGTTAATAGATACATAATCTATAAGTCACAATGTTACACATATTCACACATAATAAGATAGTTATGGTGTCATCGAAAAATTGTTCGCTATTCCGCGGAGATATTCAAGTTTAGATCTTTTGCTGTAAGTACAAACCAAGTTGCGAATCCTATCATCAATTCTTCGATAGAGTGATCGCTTTGGTGTAGGATCTTGACCTGACATAGTTTGCTCGTATACGATGTCACGTAATTTCTGGAGTCTTTTCAATCCAGAGATAAATTTCCAAATTGATGGATGGTTCATTTGTAGTTCGGACTAAAATAAAAGTAATATTAGAAATATAAATTAGATAACTGATATGCGAGCTGTATTACGTGAATCCTCCGATTAGCGGCTTCGGCCGAGTTATTAGTTCTATCTTCGTTATTCAGAACTCGACCGATAAATTCCAAATATCAATGAAAATAATG